AAAAAAAACACTTCAGTCCACAATTTCTAGATAATAACAAAAACAAAAATAAAACAACTATATTTAGTATGAACTTTAATACACATGTAAACATGACATTTCCAGCGACAAAAAAATTTTTAAATCTTCCGGTTAAATGATCTTAATTTACAGCTTGGAAAGTGTTAATTAATTCGTTAATAACATTCCATAAACGTAAAATTCTTAATGTCAGATTCAAACTAGGGTTTGCCTTTCCTAAAATCTAATTATATCTAAAACAATGAACCAAAGAAAATGCCGCTCCCTGGTAAAGATCAAACTTTTATAGCCTCGAAAACAATACCACAGCCTGAAAAGCTACCCATCCCCAAGAGAATTGTGAGACCGAAGAAAATAACGAAGTAATTACTCGCTGATAAGCTTCGTTATAGAGGTCTATTAGAATGCAACACAAAAGATGTTAAGTAGATTGCCCTACACTGACTAAAAGTTAATCAATCACAAAGTTACTCATAGCAAAATAATTAATGGATAAAGTAAGTGCGAAAAAATCAAATCTTCTCCCATAAACTAATCGTGCCGCCTTCCGAACATGAGAAACAAATTGTACATTACAGCTCAAAAAATTGCAGTTCCTAAAAGCCAAGCAAGTTTCAAATTTACAAATAATTTTCAGAAACCTTAAAAAATAGCACAATTAAAACAAAACTGTAACAAAAAATCTCAAAGTTGCAGCGCAGGAAATGATTAATTAAAAAGAACATAGAAAACAACAATGCAACCTAAAAAACCATGTCTGGCAAAAGGTGAGCGATGCAGCAGCTTCGAAAACACAGTATTTAAATCATCCTCTGGTACTCCAAAAGCAACTTCCACCCTTCAATCTTTTAAAACGTTCCGGTGGATAAAACAATGCAAACATTTCCTTCTTTTTGCTGAAATCTTTTTATTACCCTTGAGGTCTACAAATCATAAAACAGCGGGAGTTCCAACTGATTTGGTTCTCAACTTCATAGACTTGTATGTCATAACCAACCTTTCAAGGCTTGACCGATATAAAAAAAAAGTATTGTTCCCATTTTGTCATAAAAAATCCATGAAAAGCAAAAGGATAATGAGAGTTTTCCTTTCAACAGTTAACAATAGATGACAAATGAGCATCCATATATATTGGTCTTTGAAAAGCAAATCTGTTCTTAGTAATAAAATTACTTTCGTCAAATTAAAATCAATACCCACCATCAATACTGAAGGCCTGTTGAAAAATAAACTCTTGTTTTTCTTTCGAAAATAAAGAATTAATAATGATGATTAGAAAAAACAAAATTTTGTTTGCTTTTTGAAAAAAAAATCAAAACCTTCAAAAAATTTCTTAATCAAAATAAAGCTTTGAAAAATTTTCACCCCTTCTATTCCACTTAGCACCAAGCTCCTCCAGGCTTAACTGATGTTTTTAAAAACTAAATGTTAATAGTCGCAAAATTAGTTACTGTAAAAACTGCGAATACTGTAAAAAAAACCCCTTCCTCCAAAGGCAAAATAATAATAGATAGGTGTTTCGAACTCCCAGATTCAACATCCTTTTACGTACCCAGTAAGTTCTAAAAGTCAAAGACTTTAACTAATCGTCCAGTCTCCAACAAACAAAGGCAATTTAATTTTTCCATAATGCTGTACTTATATTCCTTCAACAAAC